TTTCCCCCTGAATCCCTGGAGGAAACCAACTACAGTAGATGAAGCACTTCTCTTTGAGCATTGGAAAGGCATTTCTTTGCCTGGCTCTTCCAGGAAAGAGGACACAGGACTAACTTGACCTTTTTTGAACCATTGGCTCATTTGGTAATTCGGCGGAGCCAGTCCAATGTGAGCTAATGACAAAAGAGGAGAACATGCTCATGATGCTCTTGTGAAGTAAATGAAATGCTTTTTCTTTTTCTCCCTAGAAATCCACCTTGGGATAGGAAAAGGAGACTGACGAGAGATGCTGATCTGTACTTTTGAGCCCCCAAAGGCTGGCTCTTGTATGTGGGGCTGGAAAAGAAACGGTTAGGTGACATGATAGCCCTGTTGAAGTATTTGAGGATGGAGCAAGCAAGTTTTCTGCTGCTCCACAAACTAGAACACAGAACAATGGATGCAAGCTACAGGAAAAGAGATTCCACCTCAACATTAGGACAAGCTTCCTAACAGAACTGTTTGACAGTGGAGCATACTCCCTCGGAGAGTGATGGAGTCTCCTCCATTGGAGGTTTTTAAACAGAGGCTGGATGACCATCTGGGGGGGATGCTTTGATTGTGATTTCCTGCATGGCAGGGGGTTGGACTGGATGGCCTTTGTGGTCTCTTCCAACTCTATGATTCTATGATCCTATGATAACAACTATTATTGGATTTGAGCCCCATGGCTGCTCCTTTCTCAGGGCCCTTTTACAATCCACCATTATCACACCGTGATTCCACTTTATGGCAAGGTCTTATGGAATCCTGAGATTTGCAGTTTAAGGAGGAGCATTTAGAATTTAGAATTCTCCTCCAGAGAGATTTAGTGCCTCCCAAACTGCATAGCCTACAATTTCACAGCATGCAGCCATTACAACTCAAATGGCCTCATAGTGCTATGACTTTGTAGTGTGAAAGGGCCCTATAATTCCACTTTAACTTTTCTGCTTACATCCTATACAATCCTGGGATTTGTAGTCTGATGAGACACCAGAATATTCAGTTAGAAAATTCTAATTATCCCTTCCAAATGTGCAAATCCCAGGATTCCCTACAGTGTTGTCATGGCAGGTAAAGTAGAGTAATCATGCTATAATTCTCTAGGCATCAGAGAAAAGGAACAATT